GGTGGCCCAACGACTTCGCAACATTCAAAAGCAGTTTCTAAGGAAGCACTCAACAAGTACTGAAGCTAGCCGTCACAAGATAAACCCAGGGCTGCATCACTACGTCCGTACCACAACGCTAGTAAACGTCATGCGCGGTTGGGAAGGAATGCCGTCTCATGAGTCGACAAAGCAATTCAAGTGGTACATGGAAGAGTACGCAGGTTCCCCGTCCAGCCGAGACTCAATCGTGCCCAAGTACAACTGGGGGTGCAGCGAGTTCATGGCGATGGCAGCCAACTTCCTTCAGCGGGAAATCTATGTTCTAGCATACGACACAGACCACAAGAAGCAGTGGTACTGTTCAATGTACAAATCGAGCACGACGAAGCGAGGGACTCAGACGTACGAAATTGGGCAGCATATTCCTCTGCAAGTAGGGCGGTGCACTGCCCTAATTCGAGCGGCAAAAATGCGCGACACCTGTCCACCCCTAGTCATTCGGCACTGGGGCGAACATTACTCGGCGTTTGTTCACAAGAGAGCACCAGTGAGTCAGCCGCAGCAACCGGACCAAGTAACAAGCTTGCAGCCGTCCAGCTGTGCTCAGGAACCAGGACACACGCAACCACTACACGATGGCGACTCCTCTCAAGTTGCATGGAGCCTGACGGGATGGGACGGCAATGTGACGGAACTTCACCGTAAGCTCACAGGCCTGACAATCTCTCATGACCTGAAGTGTGAGATTCATCTCATCCTCGAGCATGCCGATCCATCGCGGTACAGCGAGCTGTTAGCGTTCCTAGTGAACACTGCATCCCAGCTATCACTACCTGAAAGAGAACAACTCAGGAGCATGGACCTGTTTGCCGAACACTCAGCAGACGTGACAGCCCTCTTGCAAAAATACCAGATTCCATTAGCGACTCTACGGCTATGGCAAACCGAAAGTGCCCAAGCTCAGCAAGACGAACGAGATATGCAATGCTCTCAGGAGTCCAGACAGAGCCATAAGTCGGACTCTTCCTATCTACCATCCAGCGCCAACTCATCGCAAGAGATGCCACCAGCACGAAGGAAGCCCGGAAGGGTCAAGGAAGCAAGCACCAAAACGTCCAAGCGTCCCCATACTCTCACGCCCATGGAGGCAGAGCGTATACGACAGAGGATGAAGCCCAAACAAGCGCACCCGGGCCAGACCGACGGGACACAGCTGATGATGGACGAGCCCATGCCACGAGCTTATGAAGGCAACGACAGTGGTGCAGCGACCGAGTGGGCGGACAGGTGGAATAACCTCGCCGGGGTATGGCCGTCAACGACAACCGCTCCATTTCCTCTGTTCACGAGCACGCCAGACGAGTGGAGTTACACGGCGCAACAGGAACCCGCTCAACTGGCACTTATGTGCCAACTATTTGAATTCCCAGAAGAAGTCTTGAGTTCTCTTGGTGACAAAGTTCTAGAGGTTTGGACAGCAGCTTGGCGACACGAGTGTCTTCACGGACGACTAGTCGCCTATCGCAGTCGTACAACGGACAGAGCCACCAGGAAATGGATTGATGAGTGGATAACAAAGCTGACACGACCTCCGCCGCAAAATCTAGCCCCGCTGATTGATAACAGGGAAGCCTGGACACGCCTACGAAACAACAGCTACGGAAACGACGACATTCTGAAGCTTTGCGATGTTGGTAATAAGAGACGACTAGCGCAACATCTGCTCTGCGCCATCATTTATGAGAAGGAATTGCAGGTGTTGACCGGAACCGAGGAGGACCCAGATAATGGTTCCCTCTCCAAGTTGATGCGACACTTACTAGCGCTGGAAGTGAACGCCCGGTACAGGGATGCTTACCCCGTAGCTCGTGGACATGTGGACTGGGGAGCAGTAGCACGCTTCTTCTCCGACGCGGTTGAACGCGGCGGAGGGGAGTGGGACCGCGATCATTAAAGGCAGCCAAGCGCTGCCTGCCGTAGCTCCAATGAGTATGGATAATGGAGCTACAGGCGACGTCTACGGGCGTCATATGCATATGCAAGACCAAGAAAAAATTGAACGGCG